TGTGTGTGTGTGTGTGTGTGTGTGTGTGTGTGTGTGTGTGTGAGAGAGAGAGAGAGAGAGAGAGAGAGAGAGAGAGATCACGCGTCCCTGACCACCCGCGCAGCCACGATTTGATATCTTGTGTAGAGAGTTTTTAAGCGGTCGTTGATGTGAAGTCCTTTCCTGCAATGCTCACATTCGTTATTCCCTCCATGCTAGCCTGCGTTCGTTACGACCTGTACCATTACCTCTTTGATGTACGATATGAGATGAAACAGACAGCCCGCAACCAGCCTCGCCATTTGTAGCGAATTTGCTTTTGCAACGAACTTTTGAAATGTGTCCGTCGTCATAGGCAGCGCAACAGATTCTGCATCAGCACAAGGTGCTTTGCTAGCGACGACACATGGGAAGTTGTGACGAACATGGTGACAATTCAGTGTGGCAACATCGGTGCACGCCAGCACGGCATGCGGCGCAGGCGCGCACTCCCCGACAGTGGTCCCAATTCCTGTGGAGGTTTGCAATGTTGTGTCGATTTCTTCACCTGCCTTCGTCCTTTCACCTTCTGCACTTCCCATGACAACTTCATTCGCACAAGTCACCGTCATTTCTCCATCCAACAACCTACCTCGTGTGTGTTGCAAGGCATCAATGACGTTCGAGCAATCGTTCAACAAAGACGTCATATAACAAGGAAGGTCATCCTTACCAATCGCGACACCCTCATCACAGAGACCGTACTCGTCTACGGTTTCCTTACAGCGGCGAATACAGTCTGCTGCGAAGGCCAAGAGGTCGACGACACTGCGTGACGAAGCAGTTAGCGAACCCGTATTATATTCTTGGCTATCATACAATGTCCACCCCTCCTTCAACACACACTTCTCCGGGCTGCCACAAGATGCGACATCAAGTCCTTGTGATTCTCTGTGAGTTCTCTTTGTAATGTGGGCGGCGAACCAATTCAAGACCGCGGTGCGCCTGCGTCTTTCACCATCCAACCATGTTTGGAACTCGTCAAACATGGTGGTCTTCGTTTCAGCTATTGCCTTCAGTCTGGCAGTCATGTCCTCCCTCAGACGACGTATGTCTAAACACTTTGGATCGTCTAGCAACAACCAGAAAACAGTGAACATCCTGTGTTCCGCAGTTTCTGTCATTTCTACGAGCAGTGACTTAATACGGTCTAGTTCGTCTGACATCTGTCTCGCCAATTATTTCTGCTTATGTACCTCGTTTGTTAGCCTGTTTATATGTTATCGCTGTTTCTCTACTATCTGACCCCAGTTCTGGTCCATCTCAGTCGTCTTCTCTTCTTTGGCCCCCAGTAGTAGAAAGTGATCCGTCGTTGCATCACACTCTTCGCCTGACTTTCTCTTCTGTCCGGTTTTGGCCAATCTTGACATCTGGAGATATATGTACATACAGAGAAATACAGATAGATAGATAGATAGATAGATAGATAGATAGATAGATAGAGAGAGAGAGAGAGAGACAGACAGACCGACCCTCACTACTTCGATAGTTGTTGTCAGCGGGCGCCTACCAAAGATTGGCTATATGTACGTGGCAACATACATTGTTATTTATTACTGTACATCTGCGTACATGACTCGATATAACAGTGGACAACACAACTTAACAAATACAAAGCAGACCATTCTTTCGAAACGCATCCGTCGGAATGAGGGAGTGAGAGAGATAGAGACGCAAGAAAGAAAGAATGGAGTGAGAGACGGAGAGAGAGAGAGAGAGAGAGAGAGAGAGAGAGAGAGAGAGAGAGAGAGAGAGAGACGCCACAAACAAAGAAAGAAAGAACCGTCCGACAAAACTAAAATGTATGGAGTTCGCTACTGCGGGCCAAAATCACACTTACGTACCTCGTTCAATGGGTTCGTGGCCCACAGTAGTGAACTCTCTCTCTCTCTCTCTCTCTCTCTCTCTCTCTCTCTCTCCCACTCTCTGATTCTCTGTCTCCCATTTGTAAGAAATAACAAAACAAAAGAAAAGGAAGTAAGAAAAAAAAAAAAAAAAAAGAAAGAAGAAAAAAAAAATAAAAAAGCAAGAAAGAAAGGAAAGAGAGAAAGAGAGAAACAAAGAACAAAAGGAAGAAAGAAACAAAGAAACAGAGAAAAAAAAAAAGAAAGAAAGCAAGCAAGAAAGAAAGAAATCT